GCTGTGGGGGAGGGGGGGAGGGGGGGGGGGGGGGGATTTTATGTTTCACATTAGTGATATTTAGTTGAATTCGGATTTTCTTCTCTGCCTATTAAAGGACTATTACAATATTAGTAGTGTGAGATTATTAAGAAATAACAAGGTAGGAAGAGTCGCACATGGCGCAGCCGCCCAATATATAATGAAGAGAAGCCCTGCTTGCACTGTTCATGTCTACAGGCTGTGCTGTGCTTGTTATAATCTCCCTTTCTGTGTAAGGATTGTATAGGGAGCTGTGAACACATTCCCACGTGGTGCCCTGTGTGTTGTTGTTTTTTCTTGGAGAGGTGAAGAAGGGAATCAGTGTTGGGTTTCAATGTTTATTTTCCCTCCAGAAGTTTTTCTCATCTCTATGCCCAAACGGTGCACTTTCCTTCCATGCTACTTGGCTCCCTTTAATCCCCTTCTTTTTGATGTGAGTTTAAACACTGATGTGCTGAACGAAACTTCTAATAGAACAGTTAAAACGTCAGATTTATGTGCCAGCAGCAGCGAACAGATGAATGAGTCTAATGTAGATTCACCTTACTTCAAATTATTGTAAACTGGATTTACAGCTCGCCTTTTACACCCTCGTAAAATATAACCTGAGTTCGCCCCATAATTTGATATCAGAATAAAGTATAGATCCCTCTTATCGTCTATCTATTACAGCCGGGACTTTCTGAGCAGGGCCCATGGACCTGATTACATCCTACAATCATCTAATATATCCGGCGTGTGAGAGATGTGGAATGACAACCTGTTATTATAATAGGGGACCAATGATTGAACTGATAAATCTGAACCATTTAACAAATGAGGAACAAAGATTAGCATTTTATTGTCAGGTGATTAAACGCACTCAATAACATAAAGTGTAGTAATAGTACATTGTTTTTAGTAAATTAATGCTAACCCTTTTATTTGTTCATAAGAAAGCACTAGCGCTTGGGTTGTGGGTAGCCTGGGTGTCACTTTTATTTGCAGAGTTATGTTCACTTGTCACAATTTAAAAGCGACCCCTAGGAAGTAGATGGTATCCCATAGGGGAAGACTGGCCTGCTTTGATAAATGTCCCCCCATCTGATCCATAGAGCCCACTCCACTAACCTGTCAGCTGCTTCACTGAGCTTTATAGGAAAGTTTTATAACACACTTCAGTTCACTTCAATGGTCTTCCACCATTGTTCCCTATTCATGAAAACACCTTTACCTTTGCAGCGGCCAGGGTCTAGTGTTGTCACTAATATATTCATATATTCATCGTCACACCATCTCCAGGTCCGTGCTTTGATACAATGAATATTTTAGTGCAATGGACTTTTTCCGCTATCATTACCAAGATATCAATGAGAACAAATATTTGGATAGTATATGTAGTGCCTGTGTTTTGGTTACTACGAATGCTATTTTATACTAATATGTGGCTTCTTTATACACTTTTCTGCGATCAAATCTTTGTGTAAAATTATATATATTTTGCGTCAATTTTTATTGTAAGATATCTAATTGTACTTATCTGAAGATATTACAAATGTATTCAAGCACTTTTATTTTTTTTATTTCAAGATCAACTACGTGTTTCCTAAAAAATCGACACAATTCTCTGTACGATTCTAGTCCCGGCGTTTCAACCCACCACAGTATAGTCTTGGGGGCTGATTTTCTAAAGGACTTTAACCCTAGCTTTTGTTCACTTGGACACCCAATCAGGTTCAGGGGGTTTTCTTTTCTTTTTAATTCGTCTGATTGGTTGAAATGAACGGAAATCAGAGTAGAAATGTGTCCTTTAGGAAATCAGCCCCCATATCTTTGGGGGAGGGATACCTAGCTCAGGGTGCCCCTACAACGTTAGGTAAATGGAAGCCATTTCCACATTTTATGTATCTTGCTATTTTTAATTCATATATGGGGACATAGGCTATAATGTAGCTGTGCCTACTGAAGCCTGGCACACCATTTGTCTGGTTTATTAGGTACAGTAAGGTGCCAGGTACAGTTATGTCACTGCATGCAGATATATACTTACCACCGCAGCCCACACCAAAGGAGTATACTGTCTACATATTTACAGTCAGCTGTAGAAACCATTGTCCTCAGTTACTAAA